TCTCTCTCTCTCTCTCTCTCTCTCCTCCCTCTCTCTCTCTCTCTCTCTCTCTCTCTCCCTCTTCTAGTACTTCTAGTACTTCAGTCAAATAACCTACTTAAGAACAAAAAAAGCAGAAAAACAAGTATTTGGTCCTCAAACACCATACTAAATGCAGATACATACGTTTCGTTGATTAAAATTCAGTAAATATAATCGAACTTGTTTGTATCAATTCTCAATGCTTCTCATAATGTCCATGTCATCAGCTTCTTCACGTGTTCTATGGATGGTCTTTTAAACGAATATTCCCTACAAGTTGATGGCAACAATTCATTTCATATTGCAAAAATCCATTCACGCAATGTATTTATGCAGACTATACTGTTATCTTGATTATCGCATTGCAGATATTGCCTTCGCTAATTAACTTGATTTACTGGTAGAAATATAGATATAGCTAGTAGTATATAGATATAGCAGAACAACCGAGGAGTTTCTAGTATGTAGACATACTGTAAGAATATAACGGAGGCGTTAGTATAGATATACCGCCAGAATGGAGAGGTTACTGGTGTATAACGTTACTGATGTTAACGTAAGAATAGAGGAGGAGCTAATAGTATTTTGACAAAGTGCAACAATAAAGGAGTATACTGTAATTATTCTTGTTTAACAAGTGTATTACAGGTTACTGAGAACGTTCTAAAATCACTAAATATGATCCTTTCGTTAGTTTGAATCCAAAACAGAAATAATCTACATTTTGTGACCTCAAGTAGGTCGACCTTAAGCGACGGTCACAACTCGCCGTACGTGCTTCTGCGTGCTGTCTACGTGCAAAAACGTGGGCAAACGTACGGCATCCGTGCGTGGTGAGTACCGCCTCCGTACGGAATCCTACGGATTTGGGAGCACGCAGACACGCCGTAGAACCTTAAGTGCATGTAATACTTTTTCTACGTGCGGTCTGCGGATTTACCACCCGTGCGTGCGAGTACGTGCGACGCGCGTGCCCCGTACAGCCTATGAGCGTGCAACGTACGGACTCCGTGAGTCTAACTTCACTATTCTCAGCTGTACGGACAGCGCACGAAGCACGTGAGTGCCACGCACGGTGCTTGCGTCATCCGTGCTTACTCCTCACTTCCCAGTTGACCTGCTCAATGACCACGCAGAACACACGTGCACCATACTAGGTGCTCCGCACGTGCAACGCACGTGCAACGCACCTGATTTCTACAGTAGATAAAGACGACTTTACGGGCGACTGCCAACTCGTCTCCAAGATGCCCAGGAAGGCTCAAAAGAAGTCTACCAGACAAGATCCAAAGAAACGGGCCGCGGAAGACACCAGGGCGGCTAGTGATGATGAAGTTAACAGGAGGTACACGCACTTACAACGTGCGAGTGAGTAAGGAAATCGTGCGCACGCCGCACGTGTAGGTACGGCCTGTACGCGGCAACGTGGCAATCGCACAGAGATCGTACGTTGTAAGCACGTACAACTCACTTACCACTTGCGCAAAGTACGATGCACGTAACCGCTGACGGCCAGGCGTGTCGTGCAGACCGCGTACGTACACCTTGCGAGTGAAGTACTCCCTCGGCCGGCCACCCTACGTTTGCAGAAAAAACGTAGCAGACGTAGCCACGACAAGAACGTACGGACAAAAAGCACGCACGGCGAGTTGTGACCGTCGCTTTATTGGCCAACTTTCCATTTTTAAGCTTGTAGCAGTGTAGCAATTTACCAGATGGTTATGCAAAATTTTTATTTCTAGAATAAGTGAAACTTAACATTAGAACCCTGTTACAGCAAGTACTACGGAGGAAGTGACAAATAAGGTTATTATTATGGCTTCACCACACCACGAATGAAACCGTATTGTTTTTGCTGATGATTCCCCTTCTTCTCCTTCTCCTCCTGCCATTTCTATAAATGGATTCAGCTTCTTCATTTTGGGGCCTAAGGACCTGAAATTTGGTATGTAGGTATGGTTGACAAATACCCCCAGGCGTTTTTTTTTTAATTTTTGTGATACAGGCTTTTAGAATGGTTTTATTTGAGAATTTTGGCTGTGTTATAGCAAATGTATTACTGTGTCAGTTGGCAGTGTTACCGCGTTTGGGCATGAGTCATCACAATGGAATGCAGCTTTCCTCTATTCTTCTTGCTATTTAACTGGCTAACTGGCATACCTGGCATAACTTAATTAATACCTGCTCAGAGCCATTCCATACTGACAGTATATCTGTATTCAAGTGTTTTGGTATTTCAAGCTTTCCTGCTCCAGCATTGGAATGCGGGGCATGATCACTTCTTTCTATCTTGAAAATCAACAGGTTGCATTATACAATTAAAAATCCTAACCTATAATGTAGGGAATAGCTAGCCAACTGTTGTAGTCTTAGTTGTATGTTACTTCATATTATAGTTATATCAATGTAAAGCATTGTTTCCCTTGTGTTTCTCATTCTTTCCCTGTCATGTCGTAAACTGTGGTGAAGCCATTGCTGTATTTGCTCCAAAGCAAATGTTGGCCTTTCTAGTAATAAAGAACGATTTTTCAAATAAAATGGAATGGAGTTAAAACTGTATTATTGACTATTCTGACCGTATTTGAACATTTTACTTGTATTTTCGAGTTACGTATTTTTGCTCTGATGTATGTAGAATTTCGAGATAAAATTCTTGTCTGCAATCTCTCCCCCCCTCGTCTAGCATAGATTTAAACTCTTGCCAAAAAATTTTCACTTCCTTCATGTACTTTTCTGCAGTTTTCTTATTGGGACCATTTTCTCCCTCAACCCGTCATAATTTTTTTGGTATCAACTACAGATCATTGCCCCTCTCTATTCCTTTATCGCTTAAGCTTGTCCTGTCTGATGGGAGAGTTTTGTGTGATGCTAGGCTAAGACAAGTTAGGATTGCTTGTCAAATGGCGCGTCAATGGCGCCATTTATTAATCTATTTTCATTAATATTAATTTATTATCATTTTCAAGTAAGCTGTCCATTGGCTATTGAAAGGAAAGTCACATCAACAATATTGTCTTGAATTTTATTGTATTGACCAAGATTTACCTAACCTTCTGCATGTGTTTATTTAAATGATTTTTAATGATTTGATCTATTCAAAATTAGATCGTAATTTTTTTCGTAATAATTATAAGTAGAAAATTAGGAAAGACAGATTAGGGACCTGGCGTGTTAACGGTTTTGTTCTAATTGCGGAAGGCACTTTTACATAATCTAATCCTTGTCAGAACTGCTGCTATTTTGGGATGGGAGGTATTGTCCCTATAGATAACTTTCATCATCTTTAAGGACTCTTTATAACACCACATGGCTTTAATGTGATCACCGAGGTTTGTCCAACATGCCCCAATGTTTTGAAGTGAGACAGCAATGTTGTGGTGTACTGTGTTTTCCCCATAAATAGCCTTATACATGTTCAAGGACTCTTTATGATAACTAATAGCTTTTCTCTGATCTCCAAGGTCAACCCAACAGGCCCCAATGTTGTTTAGTAATTTAGCAATGTCAGGATGTGGCTTTGTTTCGCAGTAGATGGCTTTCATCATCTTTAGTGACTGCTCGTGATAACTGATAGCTTTTCTCTGATCGCCAAGGTCCCTCCAACAGTTCCCGATGTTGCTTAGTAATGCAGCAATATCTGGATGTGCCGTTGTTTCGCCATAGATAACTTTCATCATCTTCAATGACTCTTTGTAGTAACTGATAGCTTTCCTCTGATCTCCAAGCTCATTCCAACATGCCCCAATGTTGTTTAGTGATTTAGCAATGTGAGGATGTACAGTTGTTTCCCCATAGATAGCTTTTCTCATCTTCAGTGACTGTTCAAAATAACTGATAGCTTTCTTGCTATCGCCAAGATCGCGCCAGCAATTGGCAATGCTGCTTAGTGATGTAGCAACGTCGGGGTGTGCTGTCGTTTCACCATAGATAACTTTCGTCATCTTTAGTGACTGCTCGTGATAACTGGTAGCTTTCCTCTGATCCCCAAGCTCACTCCAGCTCATTCCAATGTTCATTAGTGCCAAAGCAATATCGGGATGTGCCGTTTTTTCGCCATAGGTAGCTTTCATCATCTTCAGTGACTCTTCGTAATAACTGATAGCTTTCCTCTGATCGCCAAGCTTTTTCCAACATACCCCGATGTTGTTTAGTGATTTAGCAATGCCCGCGTGTGGTGTTGTTTCGCCATAAATATCTTGCATTCTTTTCAATGCCTGTTCGTGATAACTGATAGCTTTGTTCTGATCGCCAAGATCCTTCCAACAGTTCCCAATGTTTACAAGTAATACGGCAGATACTCGACGCATTTGGGTGCCTACAGAAATAGTATCTTCAATGGCCCTTGCCCGTTCGTAGTAGCTGATCGCTTTCTTAAAGTCACCACGTCCGTAAGAGACAATGCCTAGTTCAAAAAGTAATTCCAGCTGCTTTTCCTCATCACCATCCGCCTCTTCCAGTGCTGCCTCCAAGTGACGTTCAGATGCGTCTAACTGCAACACCTCCTCGGCTATTTGACCCCTTGTTTGAGATGAGGTGTCAAAGATGGCTGTTTTGAATATCTTGGACGTCGCATTTGTGTTTGTGACTGTATCTTTAATGCATCTTTTTAATGGAATGGAAGTATAGTAGTACCTGAACAACATTTTAGAATCTGGTATGTAAAACACTGACTGGACGAAGGTGTCATCTACGTCATGTTTGTCCAGTTGGACTTTCATCTCCGTGAGAGGAGACAGTCTGTCATTCTGTCCTCCGTTGGCAATGTACGTTCTTAACCGTAGCTCCGCTGAGATGCTGATCAGTACAGTCAAGTGGTGGGCATCTTCGAGACTGATCCGTTGTGTCTTGTGTAACTCTTCTATTGTTCCCCACACACTGGGGATCGTAATACCACAGCAAATACTTAACACATCAACGGCCACGCTGGGAAAACGGTAAATTTCCTTCTTGACATTTAGCAGTTTCCCTGTTAGTTCAATATTTGAGGACGACATCTGCTGAATATCATCTTCAAATGAAACTGTCAACCTTGACATTACAGGGGAACGCTCTAAGGTTTCATTGACTCTGCTAGTATAATCATTCACCAAAGACGCATCTCCTGTTAAGTAGGTTACCCGTCTGAGAATATCTGACAGGTGATAGCCTTCCGCTAGGGCGATTTGCAGATGCTGATATTCGGCCAATTTGGCGGGAGTCTGGACGAGACTAACTGGAGGTTTGCGTTTGGTTTCGTCTCTTCCAAACGGAGTCTTCGAAGCCCATGGCATAAAGCCGTCGAAGGCGAAGCCGCGAGGTGTGACGGAGTCGAAGAACCATTCTTTCTCTGGGTCTTCTGAGAGAAAGTCGTTGAGTGACGGGATGGCCATGGCTGGGAGGATGGTTTCCCCAAGGTTAATGACTTTTAGATGTAAGTAGTGTGTGAGATTTAGGAAGTACCTCCGTGCATTATCATCACCCTTCCCCTCCTCAATTAGAATGGCGAACTCTAGGTCGGAGTACGGCGTCACCAGTTCTGTGGCCTGTGACCCCATCCCGATGAAAGCGTACTTACAGGGAGGAGGTCCGAGTTTGGCCATGCATTCATCTGTCAATGTTTGGATAAACTCTCGTCTTTCAACTGTGATGCTCTTGAACAAGTCCTTGATTGCTTCAGCTCGTTTGATCTCTACCTCTCTCACGACGGGATCGTCTTCATCATACTGATAAGGGTTGTGCTCCTGATGAAATGTTTCGAGCTGAGATTTTGCACAGGCACGTGAGTTGTACAGTTCCTTTCTGTGATCTAACGCGCTACTATACGGGCACGGTTCACAGTCAAGCTTACAGGTGTTTCTAAGAAACTGCCTTTCTGTTTCCTGCAGTTTTGTAACCATGTTATGTTTGTCCGCATCTGTTCTGGCCATGGAGGCGTTATACAGAGCTGCCGCCTGTGTGAATTTTCTACCTTCTCCTGTCCGCTTACCTCGCTCGACGTAGACGTCACCCAACCTGCACAGACAGCCGGCCTCTTTAGCCTTCTTGGATTTACTGCGATCTGTGAGTAGGGAGAAAAATTATATCAATTAGATATGAATCAACTGCAACAGATATATTTAACTTAGTGCCAAGGTCATAATGTTTTTATTCCAACTGACGGAGATACATCTTTAGAATACAATTACAGTGTTAACCATAAATAACCACGACTAAATGCTACATGCATGTGCCAGAATGGGTATAACAGACCGTGAACAAGCTTCAAGGCAGCTGCTAGGTTCTGCTCTGCTGCGTCCAGATCCCAAATACTCACGTCACGGTCTGCCGTCTGGATGTACCTGCGGTAGGAACTGAACAACAAAATATGTTTCGAAACAAACATATATACATGTACTTCGATGAAGCATAGGCGCTAGGCCACCGAGTTTTTGTTAAAATGATCTATATTGTTTTGTAAACTATAAAAAAAATACATGTTATGTGGTGTCTACTTACTCAGTCCTTTGCCTTCACAAAACGCAAGAATGAACATTGAAAGATTCCCGAGAATCATACACTGAACACATAACACCGTGAACACGGTCCGTTGAAAGATTCCCCTTACCCTCAACCACTGTGAACATGGTCACGGTTGAAAGATTCCCCATACACTCAGCACATAACATCGTGAACACGGTGTTGACAGATTCCCGAGAATGGTACACTCAACACATAACACCGTGAACACGGTCCGTTGAAAGATTCCCGAGAATCATACACTCAACACATAACACCGTGAACACGGTCCGTTGACAGATTCCCGAGAATCATACAACACACAACACCGTGAACACGGTGTTGAAAGATTCCCGAGAATCATATACTGAACGCAAACATTGTGAACACGGTCCGTTGAAAGATTCCCGAGAATCATACACTCAACACAAACACTCAATGAACTCAGTCTACAACCTGACGAGGATTCCAAAGAACCATACCGAACATATACCGAAGTCTCCCGAAGATTGCCGAGACCCGAACGGCGACTTCCGAACGCTTTATCTTGGTTAGGTACTAGTTATACACTAGGTGGGAAATGCCATTTCAAAAGACCCTATTTTCTGCGAAATGCCAAAAGGAAAATAAACGTTTTGATACCATGTATAATTAAGGGGTAACTATGTAGCCATGTCAAGTTTATTGGGATATGGTATCTTATTTTAAAGAAGATATGAAGCATTTTGTAAAGTCCGATTTCCGGCGAACTGCGTTACCAGCAGTACCATCACTGGCCGCTAAGGTCGCTGCTGCACACGGTAATGACATCACCACTAGCCAATCAGACGCCCGGTAGTCCCACATTTCCCGCGCGGTTCTAAAATGGAAACGCACACAACTGGCTACATCACCCGACATAAGTCCTGAATATGTAGTGTCATGCTACTCTAAACACGTCCACAAACCCCGTCGCGACATGTTTTCATTTCTATGTCTCCCAGGCACGAGTCCTAGCCTGGGTGCCAGACCCATAGCACACTAGACACGAAGTATCTCAGTGAGCAAGGGTCTGGCCGGATCAGATAGACCTGCCATTCGAACGCTCAGTATTTGAGCGTAAGGCCCCATTGGTGGCACAGCAGGAAGAAATTTTACACCTCTGCTATGATTGGTTAAAACCTCCCAGCTGTATCTTTGAATCTTCCACAGTGGCCATTAGCAGATGAGATAAAACTGTAGATAAGGTGTATTTTGTCCTGGTGTGTTAGAGGACTGTCACCCAAACAAACAGAAAAGCGTTACGGCAGCCCTATGTTACGACAGCCCTATGTTACGACAGCCCTATGTTACGACAGCCCTATGTTACGACAGCCCTATGTTACGACAGCCCTATGTTACGACAGCCCTATGTTACGACAACCCTATGTTACGACAGCCCTATGTTACGACAGCCCTATGTTACGACAGCCCTATGTTACGACAGCCCTATGTTTTAACGCCCCTTTTTTTTCAACGCGATTATGGCTATGTTCAGACACCAAATGATAAATTGTAAATGTATTGAGTGTAATGATCTGGAAGAAAATTTTTCCGTAATATATTGTTACTGAAAGAAAAAAGAAGCCTGAGGCTATTGACAGGATCGTCCTGTCAACAGCAGGAAATACTGCACTGCTGACAGGATCGTCCTGTCAATAGCAGAAAATACTGCACTGCTGACAGGACGTATCCTGTCAATAGCAGAAAATATTGCACTGCTGACAGGTACGTATCCTGTCAA